CGGATCTTCCTGAACAAGACCATGTAGGGATCAACAATAACTCAATTGCTTCAGCTGTCTACACCTGCTGGAACGCTAGTTTCCACAGTCCAGACACCGCTGATGTGCAGATTACATACAATGCTACTACTAAAAACTTGAGCGTCTCTTGGAGCTACCGGCAGACCTCTAATTCTCAAGAGAACACAAGTTTATCTTACCTAATTGATCTGAGGAAGGTTCTTCCAGAGTGGGTCACTATTGGGTTTTCAGCTACGACGGGTGCGTTATTAGAGCGAAATATACTTGACTCGTGGGAGTTCAATTCAAATTTGGTTATGAAGGAGACAAACGGAACGGATACAAGAAAGACCAAAATAATAGTTTCTGTCACAGTTTCGTTGGGTGTACTTCTAGTAGCTGCTTTAGTAATGGGAGTCGTAGTTTTGCGAAGGCGGAAGCAGATCGTGATGGAAGACACTGCTGAAGCAATGAAATTAACTTCTATTAATGATGACCTTGAAAGAGGTGCAGGACCGAGGAAGTTTTCTTACAAAGATCTTGCCACTGCAACGAACAATTTCTCGGACGATAGAAAGTTGGGTGAAGGAGGGTTTGGTGCCGTTTACAAGGGTTACTTTATTGATATTGATTTGGCTGTTGCGGTGAAAAAGATTTCAAAAGGTTCTAGACAAGGGAAAAAAGAGTACATAACTGAAGTGAAGACTATCAGTCAATTGAGACATCGAAATTTGGTGCAACTTATAGGTTGGTGTCACGATGGAGGTGAATTTCTTTTGGTCTATGAGTTTATGCCAAATGGAAGTCTTGATTTTCACCTCTTTGGCAAGAAGATCTGTCTTCTCACTTGGGCTGTGAGGTACAAGATATCTCTGGGTTTGGCCTCGGCTTTGCTCTATCTTCACGAAGAGTGGGAGCAATGTGTAGTGCACCGAGACATCAAATCAAGTAACATAATGTTGGATTCTAATTTTAATGTCAAACTAGGTGATTTCGGATTGGCGAGGCTCATGGACCATGAGTTAGGTCCTCAGACAACTGGGTTGGCTGGAACTTTAGGTTATCTGGCCCCGGAATGCATTAGCACAGGAAGGGCTAGTAAAGAATCCGATGTATATAGTTTTGGAGTGGTTGCTGTAGAAATTGCTACCGGGCGGAAGTCAACTGATCCCATGAAGGAACAATCTGAAATGGGGTTGGTGGAGTGGGTTTGGGATCTGTACGGAAGTGGAAAACTTTCTTTAGCATTGGATGAGAAACTGGGTGTGGATGTAGATGAAAAACAAGTGGAGTGTTTGATGGTTGTTGGATTATGGTGTGCTCATCCAGACCGCAGTTTCAGACCTTCAATAAGGCAAGTGATTCAAGTACTTAATTTCGAAACAGCCATGCCAAATCTTCCAATGAAGATGCCTGTTCCGATGTATCATATACCTACTGATCCATTAGTCAGTTCCGGTGAACCTTTCATTACAAATTCAAGCATTGAAGTGGGTCGTTAGACTTTTAATTAATTTCTACAGTTGTACATGTTGTAGCAATGTATGTACTAATTTTTCTTTGATGATATGTTAATTAATTCAAGCATAATTGAAGTGGATCGTTTGACTTTTATATTTTTTGACTTTATGTTTTGATGATGTAATAAAAGATAAGATAGCAACATATGATATGGTGTATATAAATTCAATTGAGGACAGGGCGCTTTTAATCCGAGATTAAAGTATCAATAAAGCCAAATTCAATTAGGTAGAACAGGCGATTCTTAATTCATAAATTTGACTAATTATAATCCTTGGCATGAACTAGCTTTCTTGCTTCGTTCTTTTGACTTATAATCCTTGCAATGAAAAAAAATCATCTCAAGTATTAAATCCTACGTATGTATGAAAGGAAACAAATCATAATTGTTATGAATCGAGACTAATTATCAATCTATCTTTAGCCAAACACACAATCAATCAAGAACATACACACGAGATTTTTACCATGATTCACCTATTCAAGATTAGATAGACTATGTCTATATTGAGCTCCAGAATACTAAAGTTCACTGCACTAATCTTTGAAGATTACAAAGTACAATACATCACTTAATCTCGAATAACCCTCTTCTCTCGAATCCTCAAAACCCTCCTGTAACCCTTGAAACCTAAGAGAAAATTAACCCAGATTCTCTAATCTTGAAGGAAACATGACCTTTAATGCATGATTCAATAGATCACAACAAGGGATTACAATATTTGAGACTAACAGAAAGAACCCCGCAGAGAACAAAACATTCACCCAAAAGAGAAGAAGGCTGCTCTATTGAAAAAGGTGATTGGTCTGCTTATATACCATTGACCATAATGGAAAGGGGCAGCCATTGGATCAGACGTGAATCAACACTCAGGATTCACTTAAGCAGCAGACCAAAAAGGGCAACGTATAGCACAAGGTCACACAACACCTTTTTGTGCTTCAAATTTATCAATCTCCACCTTGAAGCGAACAAACTCCTACAAAACAATACCACATAAGTGCAACAGGTCACTCAAATATTCCTTCTCATCTCCATTATCTTACCTTATGTAGAGCAAGTTCAAGCACTGGTTTAACTTAGCAACAATCACCACTTTGGTGCCCATGTCGGCTAGATTGTCTTCAGTTGGTATCTTCTTCAGATTCACCTCTCCTCTGGTGATGAGATCTTTGACAAAATGGAACCTTACAACTGTATGCTTGGTCTTCTCATGGTACACAAGGTTTTTACTTAGGTATATGACGCTTTGACTATCATAATATATTGTCACCAACACAGCCAGTAGCTTAGCTTCTTTCAAGATCCCTTGCAACCATATAGCTTCTTTGAAGGCATCGGTTACAGCCACATATTCTGCCTCTGTTGTGGACAGTGCAACCAATTAATGGTTGCAGTTGTGACTTCCAATTAACATAATTCCTTCCAAGTGTAAAATAATAAGTTGTGGTGGACTTCCTTGTATCCTTGTCATCTGCAAAATCAGAGTCTACATACCCACAAGATCAAGTGTATCATTTCTTTTACAATAATCCAAATCAACATGCAAAGAGCTGTTAATATACCTCAATAGCCATTTCAATGCAACCCAATACTCAATTCTAGGATTAGACATATATCTACTTAATAAAGAGATTACAAATGATAGGTCTACTCTAATACTAATCATAGTAGACATAACTGAGCCTATTGCATTAGAATGAGGGATGTTCTCCATTTTGTCATTTCAGCTTCTATTTTGGGACATTGCAGTTTACTAAGAACAAAATGGCTTGCTAATGGCATAATAACTAATTTGGAATCAGACATTCCAAACTTAGAGGTAAGTTTTAGTAAATATGACATTTGGTGGATTTTTAGCTGATTCGGCTTTCTATTTCTCTCTATCACCATTCCTAGTATCATTTTTGTACATCCTAAGTCTTTTATATCTAATTCAGCATTCAATTTTGCCTTTAAATCATCTGTCTTAGACTTATTCTCACTTATTAACAACATGTCATGAACATATAACAAGTATATAGGCATGTTATTAGTGAGTGCAAAATAAATCAGTTGTCATACTTACTTCTAGTAGACCCAATGTGAACAATAAAGGAATCAAACCTTTTATACCAATGCCTAGAGGACTGTTTAAGACCATACAACAATTTATGCAACAAACACACATGATCAGGAAGATATTTATCTCTAAAACCAACAAGTTGACACATGAATATAGTGTCTTTTAATTCACCATACAAGAAGGCAGTATTTACATCTAATTGTTCTAGTTTTAGGTCATGGTGAGCAACGATAAAAAATATTAATCTAATTGTTTTAAATTTAACTACCTGGGAGAAAATTTCATTAAATTCAATACCTTCTCTTTGTGTGTAGCCTTTTACTACCAATCTGGCCTTGTATCTCAGAGGATCAGACTGACTCATACCTTCTTTTAGTTTAAACAGTCACATGCATTCCACAAGCTTCTAGTCTTTAGGTTTTTGAACCAATGACCAATAACTATTAACCTTCAAGGAGTGCATCTCTTCTTTCATGGTAGCTAGCCATTGCTTGTTATCCTTTGAGCTCACAGCTTCAATACAAGAAAAATGACATTTGGTGTCTATCGAAAATAGACGTTAATAGTCAAATTTAGACTTTGATTGTTCATCGCATCTAAAATTCCTAATCGCTAGCTAGTTGCAAAATCATTGTCGTAGAAAGTATCCACAACTAAAATCATGGCTAGACGCCAAAACTTTTTCTTTAGCGACGAACAATTTAGTTACTAATTGCCTCAACAAATAATCCCCTAGATTAGACGCCAAATGAATAAGGGTAATTTAGTAAAATTGCATCGCGACTATTGATTTAGTCGCAGAATATATCTTTTAGTGACTAAAAAATGGATAGTAATTCCCAAAAAAAAAAAAAAAAAAAAAAAAAAAAAAAAAAAAAGACACCGAATGCTTAAAGGTAATTTGGTAAAAGCAATTCACAACTACTTTTTTAGTTACAAAATGCCTATTTTAATGACTAAAACTTTAGTTGTAATTGCCAAAAATTTTAGTCGGTGAATGTTGGACCGAAATATGATAATTTCCTTTCTGCAACCATTAAATTAGTTGCAAAAAGTATGTTTTAATGACTAAATTATCAATGGCGAAAGCAACTCAATTTTAGTTACTAGAAGTGTATGACCAATTTGCTTTCTTTGATTCCATAACTAATCATTTGATTAGGAAAATGGATTTTTCTACATCTAAGTAGTATAATTGCCCATAGAACATGAGATTGGGAAACTAATTTTTGTAGTCAGTAATAATTGATTAGTCCAGGATTGTTTATTATTTCTGTGACTAAAATTTAGTGGCAAATAGGATTACATTTAAGAGTAATGTTGCTGCTCCTTGTAATTCAACACATTGAACATCAATATAATAAGAGAGACACAATACAAAAATGTGGATCAATAACATCAATTATCTTCATTGCATATAAATCAATAGTCCATACATGGATTTTTTAGTAACATGAGCAATAAAAATCCAAAATTGCACTATCATGTGTGCATAACCAAAAACAAAAATGCATAACCCAATCAGTTCGGTCACCTTTTGGAGCTTTACCTCGGTGGAAAGCCAGAGTCTTTATCATCCCCACACCTTAACTATTGTAGTGAACAGGCCTATCCTTTCCTATGGTCTTCCAATACCCAAAGTCAGTAGCACAATTCATTCTACCAAGTCTACAGAAGTTCATTTCAAATAATTGAAAATAGAAACCTAGAGGAATTTCATTTCTAACAAGTCTACGGAAGTTCAGTTACATAGCAACAGTATTTGCAATAAGCAAGTAGTTGACCTTGGGCAAACTTTCACGCATTTCATCAAGCAACCATCTGCACATGTAAGTCATAAAAATATCAATTAACACTAGAAGTTTCAGAAAATGTGAAAACCATTTTAATAGATGCAATACAGAGTGACCCATCCAGGTATATACAAAAAATGGAGCATACAAATATTATAGTTATTTTTCGTGCAAATAAATGCTTTATCAATGACTGGAAGATGGAGGGATAATTAACAAGCACATGAACCATACAGAAACATACCTATAGTCAAAAGAAGGAAAAAACTTATTAAGGGTATTCACAATCAGCTCCACAGTGGCATGATCTGCAGCTGCAGTATCGGTCATGTGAGTATAATGAACCTGAATATTGAGGAAATAATTTTGACATAGAAAGCAATTAGGAAACATTCTAGTCCTATATTTGTGCATAATTTGCATGGAAACTTGGACTCTGCTTAGCATACTAAATGAACTTTGAGGTAAAAATAACAGTGAATAAAACTTTAACAACTTTTTGCCATCATGCGTACGAGCAACATGAACTTGTGCAAGGGAAGCACTTTCTATAGGAACAGGATCAAATTCTTCAAAAACCTGCACATAAAGACTTAAAAATCAGCAAGCACATATGTCTCCATTGGGAACAACAATATGACCACTCAACATGAGAATTTATGCATAAATCTCATAAGCACCAATATCGCTAGTAAATAATTCATGAAGTAAAAATTAAATTATTGGCTGTTAAAAAGAAAGCCAGATTCATGAAAAAATGTGCATCCTTGGTAGAGAAACCCAAGTTGGACAAATAGTAGGAACAAGTAGACAATGTGGACGATGGTCCAGAGCACACAATTAGTTTTATGTCTGATACGTAGACTTGTTGAACATGTAAAATTTTGTGTTCATTTTAACATCATACCATAATAAATACTTCAACAGTTCATGTACAGTGATACGAAATAGGATTCTAAACTAATAATGTCATTTAACTTTTGATTTAAGAGAATAAAAAAAAGGTTGTTCTCTACAAGCTACCACTAGTGGAGGAAATTTGCAGGAAAGAACTCATCACCTTTGCAAAAATCAGTAGCAACAACATCAATAGTTGTCTTTATCTTCTCACCATACCCTGTTCTACTGGTAGCCTCTTAAAAAAATCCAATCCTTCTTTCACACTGCAACAAGAATTGGACATAATTAGAAAATGAACCACCCTCTAATCAAAGTTTACTAGTATTATGTATGACTTTATATGTTGAATTTAAAACTTAAACAACCATAAATAACAGGAAAGTAGAAAGGAAGCCAAAGAACAAATATACTTTGCATATGAGTAGAAGGCAATAACAAGATTAAGAAACTTACTCCCATTGTAGTGGTGAACCCCAACTTTAGCCAACATCACATAGTACTCTATCTCAGACTTCCGAAAAGGAGGGCGGTTGCTGGTAATGATAACCAGCTTCGCTGTAACCCAAAAAAGAAAAAAGAAAAAAATGGTTCATTTAACAAATCCGCAAGAAATGAAATATTCCCATAACAAAGACTAGATCCAGTCAGAACCCAATAATTTCTAAGTTCTCATGAAAAAAGGGTCACAACCTAACAACTAAAACACAATCCTTTTTTTGGGTCCACAGCTAAGTGTCATTTTAGTTCATAAAAGAAGCTCAAAAATACAGAGATAATATAATCATCAATACATGAAATAAAACGAAAAACAAAGTTAATAGGTTACGTTACCTTTGGAGCTTCTTAGGGTGTGAAGCATAGTTTTGTAACCCAAAGTGTACTTGCCACTCTTCATGACACGAGTAGGCCTGTTGTCGATGCTCTCATGGGACTTCTTCTACAAGAGTTAGCCATAATCAACTTATTTCTCTTCTTTAATTAAGATTGAAAAGGAATAAAGAAGCAAATAAAGAAGAAAGAAGAGAGACAGAGAAGGAGATGAGTTACAGTCTTCTTGGTGGCCACCATTGTGTTAAGGCACTAGGGTTCTCACAAAACAACTTCAAAGAAAAGTGAAGAGCTGTCTCAATGAATTTCCCTAACTCCAAAATCTTAATATTCAATCAAAACCATCAAATTGAACACCAAAATCAATAGAATTTTAATTAAATCGACGAATTTTCTCCCATTACGATCTCTAAATTTAAAAAGAAAAGAATGAGAAAGAGGCGAACGAACCAGATTGCGAAGAGGTGGAGAAGCAGAGGGAAATTGATCGTGAAGAAGAGAATTGATCTTGGAGACGAAATCTTCAAACATCTGTTTCTCTCCAAGCTATTTTTGCAATTCTCCCAATTGTTTCCAAGAATTGATTGGATTGGGGAGTTGGATTCGAAGGATCGAGGAGAGTCGGATCCACTGAAGTCGGAGGATTTCTTGGAAGAGAAGAGTTTGTTCTTGAACACCATTGTTACGGTTAATTAGAGAGTGATTTTAAGCAGCCCTAGCATGTTAGAGATGTCGGGCAGCTGAAGAGAAACATTGAAGAAGACGAAAAAGAGAAGAAAGGGGAAATTTTGAAAAACGGGTAGGAAATTTTTCCTTAAATGAAAAATGGGCGGGGAATTTCGCCTTAATGAAATTTGGGGGGAAAATTTTGCCTTACCGAAACTGTTGATGGGTGGGAAATTTTGTCTTAGCGAAATATTTTATTTTTGTTTTTCCAGCTTAATCCTCGATAGTTTTAACTGTCAACGATTGAGACTACAATCGTCAATAAAAAAATTCATACAATTTATTACCAAAGATTGAGACTACAATCGTCAACAAAAGAATTCATACAATTTATTACCAAATCTTTGACAGTTAATAATTGTCAAAAATTATCTAAAACAATCAAGAATTACAATTCTTGACATTTTTTTAGGACAGTAAGAAAATCTGTCAAGGAAAGGGTTTTTTCTAGTGTGACATATTAATTTAAAAAAAGAGTCATGAAACAAAGAAAACCCATTAAAGCTTACCTTTGAAAGAGTTAAATCCCATTCAAATCAAAACCCAAATAAAAAAGAGATCGAAAGAACAAACCCACAAAGCAGTTTAAAAAAAAAAAACCCCAGAAGATACACAGAAATAAATGTATAGAAAATAAAATCGAAAATCTAAAGAACAAGAAAGTGAATAAAAATGCGAACCTTAGTGGAGAAATCAATGAATATGAAACCGTCTCGAATGAATATCCATAAAATAGAAAACTTAAATACCCAATTGAGAAAATAAATAGATATTATCAAACACGATTCGTTTATCAGCGATAACAAACGAATTTAAAGCACCCATTACAATTATAATAGTCATTGCAATGTCAGATGAAAGAGAAGATAAAAGTAAAATCACCCATTACGAAGTTAAAGCCACCCATTTAGGAACATTACAAACAACAGATGCTTAAATAAATTAAAGCAAATGTTGTGAAGAAACGAATTGAAAATCAAACAATAAAACCAAAATACTATCTTTAAAAGAATGAGTTTTGGCATAAAAATAAAAAGAAGTTACCTTCAATGGGGTAATGTAGGTGGCAAAAGTAGAATCGAGGAGATGGTAAAGTGAAGAGGAGAATTGGATACAGAGGAGTGCATGGAGAAGAAGAGGACTCGGGTAAGAATAGGGAAATTGGGGTATTAGGGATTTGGTTTTAAGTTGGGTTTATATAGGATGGGCTTTTAGTAATTGTTTCTAAAAACATAGGCATTTATTTATTTGATTAGTTATTTGTAACAACCAGTTTTAGTCAACATTTGTAACTTTCATGTTCTGTAAACCACCAATTGCAACTAATACTTTAGCAGTTGCCTCAAAAAAGAAAATGCAACTAATGTTGTAGTTGCCATTGTCAAATTTATGATATCTTCATCTTTTGTGACTAATTGATTTTGGTTACTAATAGTATAAATCATTTTTAATAAACAATATTTAGTGTCTAACATTTTGATTGCGAAAAAAAATCCTATTAACAACTATAACTTTAGTTGCCAAAATAACATACCCAAAATTTCAATTTATTCAACCAGGAACATGGGGCACCCAAACTCGCAGAATTTACCATTCATTTGACAACTAAAATCTTAGTTGCTAAAAGAAGATAATTTGCAGCTAACTAATTAGTTACACAATAGTAATTTTAGTTACAAATTAAAATATTATTTTTTTTTATTTTACCATAAAGTGGGGCCCAAAAAAATCAACTTTTAGCAACTAAATACATTCTAATTGCTATACATGAATTTTTGCAACTATTGTAATATGCACAAAATAATTAGTTGCCAAATGTACTGTAGGCCCTTTGTAATTATTGTCAAAGGCTTGGATATTTCGATAATTGTATTATTTTGTAACTAATAAAAATAGTTACAAATTAATAAATAAATATTTGCATCTAACTTAGCAACTATTCAGTAGTTACAAATAATTGTTTTCTGTAACCATAATTTTAGTTGCTGAATCTCTTATTGTAGTTGCCGATTGTGTTGTAATGCTAGGAAAATTTACCGCGTAAGAATTGGCAACCAAATAAATTAGTCGCTAATGTGATATTTTTGGCAACAAATCAAATTAGTCGCAGAATATTAATTTTAGACGCCAAAGGCAAGAATAAATGGGCCCCATAATTTTATTCCTCTTTAGCTGATCGATTGGAATTTAGTTACTAAATGTGGCGTATTTGCAACTATTTTTGTCTAGTTGCAAAAAAATTGGTTGCAAAAAAGTACTTTTTTCTTGTAGTGCTTCTTCATGGGTATCAGATTCAATTCTCTGAACTTCAACTCCAACAATCAATGCAGTGTAGATCAAGTCTACATACCTTTTCCAAAAAAAAATCCTCTTAGCTCTATCCCTTGCCAGCTGATATTGTGCAAGTTCACCATGTTGAGACCTCTCAACATGCTTTATTACTTCATCTTCAACACTTTGGGCATTATCAACTGTTAGTGGTAGATCTGTAGGTTCAGTTTCTTCATCGAGATTGACCAGCTCAGTCTGGTATCTTGCTAGCTTCACCTCAATTTGAGTGGTGTCAGCTTAATTAAAGTCTGAAGAGTCATTACTAGAGGTGCTTGCATTGATGTTAGTTCCTTTGCAAGGAAATACATTCCCATTAAACACTACATCTCTGCTAATTATAAGTCTGACCCCTTGTGCATCCTTTTCCCATAGCCTATACCCTTTGGTTCCTTCTTGGTATCCCTAAAATACACATCTTATAGACCTAGGCTCTAACTTTCCATCACTTGTGTGTGCATAGGCAGCACACCCAAATGCCCTCAGATGACTCAAGTTTGGCTTTCTACTAGACCATTCTTCTTTTGGGCACTTAAACTCTATAGCACTAGAGGGGCTTCTATTAACTAGGTAAGCTGCAGTAGTTAAGGCTTCCCCCAAAAAAGTTTTAGACAAACCTGAAATGAATATGAGGCACCTGACTTTTTCTAACAGGGTTATGTTCATCCTTTCAGCAACACCATTTTACTAAGGGGTTTTTCTAACTGTCATATGCCTAAGTATCCCTTGGTCACTGTAGTATTTGTCAAATTTAGAGTTGCAGAACTCTAGTCCATTATCAGTTCTAAGAGCCTTAACCTTCTTATCAGTTTGATTTTTCACCAAAATCTTCCGATTTTTAAACTTAGTTAAGGCCTTATCCTTAGACTTAGGGAGATTCACCTACCTTCCTACTATAGTCATTTACAGTAGACAAGAAGTAGCTATTCCCACCATGTGACCTAACCCTCTCAAGGCCCCACAAGTCAGCATGCAAATACTCAAGATAGTTAGTAGCCAGATGAGTTCCTTTTGGGAAACTCAATATGTGTTGCTTAACCATGATGCAGGTTTCACAAAACTCAAGGTCTGAAACAATGTCATTACCAAAAAAAGGCTGGTCAATTGAGAATACTCATTCCCTTCTAGCCCATATGGCCCATTCTCAAAGGCCACTTTTCTGTTGCAGAAATATTAGTAGAAACAAGTGCAATATTAAAAGCATCAGAATAATAGTGTCCACATAGTATATACAAACCATTCTTTTTAGTTCATTTTAAGCAGTATACCGTTATTTTTACACACTACAATACACCCATTTTTGCCTTATAATAACAACCAGCCTCATCAAGAGTTCCTAAAGAGATTAGATTTCGTTTCAGTTCAAGTATATATCTAACTCTTGTTAACAATATTACCCTACCATTGCTAAGTTCAATGGTTTTGTTACCACTTCCCTGGACCTTACAAGAGTGATTATTCCCCATATATACAGTTTAATGCTTATCATTCTTAAAATCTTGAAACCAATCTCTATTTGGACTCGTATGAAAGGAACATCCTGAATCTAATACCCATTCTTTAACACTAGCAGAATTAGACACTGTAAGAGCTTCAGAGAACTCAATACTATCACTAGTACATGCTAAGGTACTTTCAGTATTAGCCTATTTCTGTTTCTCAATCCACTCATAGCAATTCTTTTTAAGATAACCAGTTTTATTACAGTGAAAGCATTTCATTGTTTCTCCCTTAGGTTTACTATTTCCCTTTCCTTTCCTTTTATTCTTGAAACCCGAGTTATATTGTGAACCTTTTCCTACCTCTTTTCCTAACTGACCAGAATCTATCCTACCGTTTACAAACAAATTGTTTCCATTCTTTTTTTGTACTTTCAATTCTAACTCTCTAGATTTTAACCCAACAACAATTAAATCAACATTAGGAATAGTGCCACTATACTGTAAAACATTTTTTTACCACTTGATAAGCCTCAGACTATGAATTAAGTAATAGCATAGCCAAGCTAGTGTCTCCTAATTCTTGATCAGTGCCTTTAGTATTACTGCCATTTTTAGGAATTCATCTAGGTTATCATCTAAAGATTTAGAATTAACCATTTTATATGAAAATAAAACATCCTTTAAAAAAGCAAGGTTAGTTGTAGATTGTAAAGCATACAAAGATTCGAGTCTACCCCACAAAGCGATTGGAGTTTCCAAACCATCAACTTTCCTTGGCACATTATCAGACATGTTCATGATGTAAGTAAATCGATGAATGATGGCAGTGGAAAAACAAAAATTTTGCTCATCGATTACTCTGAATTTCCAAGATCAGGGTCTTATGAATATATGTTTTACATGCTTAAATTGAAAAAAAAAAAAAAATCCATACAAGGATTCGTTTATACCTGCATTTGGAGGCTCCTTCAAAGTCTTTGAATTCAATTTCGCTACCGATTTGAGAATAGAATCGAACTCAATTCCCTTTCTTCTTCCGAAAGCCTCTTTCTTCGATCGGAATACAGATAAGACAAACAGCTTTCCCAACTTCAGTAAGAAGGGGGTACGGCTTAACCTATAGCAATCAATATAAGTCAATGAAACGGCAGTCTAGCTATTTTACCTACCCAGGATATGAACAGCGAGCAGTAATCATATCAGCAACCATAGATCCAGAAGATTGTATCACTACCATATCTGCACAACCTGGGCTCTCATACCAGATGATAACAATCTTTAGCTGAAAGAAAGAAAAAATTGTTAGGAATGTGCAGAGCTGAGACCAGCTGTTGTTGAGTGGCAGCAAATGAGAAAGACATATAGTTTTTGATTTTTTGAAATAGAAATAGAAAATTATTTTGCTAGAATTAATTCTTGGCTTCAAGGAATGTAAATTTTGGAAGAAAGAGAATTGAGAAGAAGAATAAATTTTTTCTCTTCAATTGCA